CCAGCCTGGTGGCGGTGGGGCAGGAGTACCCGGGCGCTCACGGCACCGGCATCAGCAGCACCTACCAGAGCCCAGCTCCCAGGTAAATGAGGGGGTAAAGCACTCCGCCAGGGTTTATTATTTTTTGCATCATGTAAAAAAATGAAGCCACTTAAAACATCTGTGCCATTAACTCCCTCCAGAGAAGCGTTTGCCAGCCGAGCTGCGCTCCAGCGCCCGGGAGCCAGCGGCACACGTGGTCCGCAAAGCTGCTTCTGCCCAGGCTGGCCGGGGCCGTCACAGGCGGCTTTGCTGGGCAGGGAAGGGAGAAGGACGAGGTGCTGCTGCGGGCGCTCACAGCATCGCGACCAGCTTGCTGGCTTCAAAAGTGCTCTCCTGTGATCAGCCAGGAAACGTTTACATGGTTTAATGTGACTTCAGGAGATGGAGGCAGCGTGGAAGAATGTCTCACCCTCTTCTTAATCTCCTGTAATCAGCAGGTATCTGTTTCACATGCGATGCTCTGCCTTATGAATCCAAACCTCAGTGCCTATTTGTGAATCTTTAATGTAGAAGCTGACTGAGGGGATTCGGCTGATACCCACGAATCTCTTTATGAATGTTCCTTTATTAGCTCAGGATAAAAAAAAAAACCACAAGCCTGGTTATTTTCGTAACAGTATTTTAAAGGGCTACTTTGAAATTGAAATTAGAAAGATTAAAAAAACAGCCACGATCAAATTTATAATTAGCACGAGGCGATGTGTTTGATAAACTACCCACTAGGCAGCCTTCAGGAATACAATGAAGAGGTAATCACATCGATGTTTTCCTTTTGCAACAAAATAAGAGCTAAAATGTCTGCGGAATGACATGCTCAAACTTTGAAGGGATGTCCAGAAGCGCAGGAGGGAGGGATCTGCCCCCCGTGGGTTTCCATAAGCTCTTGTAGCGCAAAGGAATAAGTACTTGGGCACAATGAAGAGGTAATCACATCGATGTTTTCCTTTTGCAACAAAATAAGAGCTAAAATGTCTGCGGAATGACATGCTCAAACTTTGAAGGGATGTCCAGAAGCGCAGGAGGGAGGGATCTGCCCCCCGTGGGTTTCCATAAGCTCTTGTAGCGCAAAGGAATAAGTACTTGGGCAAAGGAATAAGTACTTGGGATCATCCCCCAGAAGATCTCCAAGCTCTTTGCAGCATCCATCTATTCTCCTGGTGATTACTGAAATACAGGTAATTATCAGACCCTTCTCTCGGGCACTGAAGCCCCCAGTCCGCACCCCAGCCCTGTGACCAAGCCAGGAGCACCCCCCCATCCGAGAGCGCTGCAAAGGCTGAATGCGGGAATCTCCAAACCGCTCGGTGCAGGGGCTGCCCCGAGCCCCAGACGCTCGCCCCACGCCCCGGCCTTACCTTTTTGCTGAATTCCTGCGCTTTCTGCTTCCTCTCCCGGCGCCA